CGGCATCGTTGGAAGTAATTTATCGTATGTTTTTGGATTATTATATTGACACAGGTGAGTTTTTGAGTATTTGACTTAAATTTAGAATTTTAAAAAAAATTTTTTTTTTTTTAAAAAAAAAACTAAAATGAATTTATTATAGGTGAATTAGCATTCTTGGATACTATTGAGAGTATACAACTCGATGAAACTTCACCCGTATCAATTAAGTTTTTGTCAAGATATCGATTATTTCACGCACTAAAACAGGTAAATATTAATTTTAAATGATTATCTTAATTACTTGATAAATATTTTTGATGATTTTTTATACAATATAGAATGGAGAAATACGAAGAGCTGGTGCAATATTGATGGAATTACTAAGAGCTCAGGTTGCACCGATAAGTTTTTGGCCAGTTTTATTGCTTAATGCACTACCATTATTACAAGAAGGTAAAATATACAATTATATAATTGAATGTGATATGAAATTTATACTATTGATTACTTATAACGGGTTTTTTTTTTTCACAATCGTTATCAGGAAAAGCACGCAAAATGATAATCTTTAGCACTCAAGACACATTAGAAATTTTAAGAAATTTGCAAGATATTACGTCATTCGTATATCAAGAAGAATGTTTGTCGTGTATTGAACGATTAAAGAAATGGCATACTCAAGAAAATGGTTATCCAGAATTAGATACAAATTTAACGGCTTTAAGATTAGCTCTTTTACAAAATTCAGCAGATTGTTACATTGAGAATTCGTCATCACCTTGGATGTTTGAGTAATTTGTATATATACATAAGAATATATGTGTGTGATTCATGTACTTTTTAATGACATATTAAATAATAATAATAATAAATTGGGACAACCTATAGATTTTCATTCATAATACGTATATATATTTTTTTTTATTCGTATTTGACTATATAAAAAGGACGATTTTATTACTGTACAAGAACAAACTTAATATCATTTTTTAGTTAATAAGTTTAGCAATAAATTCAAAAAAATATGTATTTAAAGTTTACAATGAATATAAACAATCTAACTGATTTTCTTAATTATGGTTTTCTTTTATGTAAGTGTGTAAAACCTACTTAATATATTTTTATTTTAAATCCAAGTAAGGAATTCCAAGTACGTATCATTCATTAAAATAAAAAATCGGAGTATCAAAAATATTAATTCATTCAAATAGCGAGAGTTAAAGTTGCAAAGCAATATTCATTAAAGTTAAACATAATTATTATAAAAAAAGAAAAATTCTTGCTTATTTTATTATTAATGAATTTGTGGTTTATTAAAAATATAAATATCATTATTGAACACTCATCCATACCATTTTTAAAACGTAAGTTATTGTTAAAGGTAATACTGATCAATTAATCACTGACGTGAGATCTTTGTGTGAAACATCACGTCAATTAATGTCACGAGAAGAAATTCGATAATAAGATGATGTAATAAATTTAAAGGCATGAAATCATTCACATAATGCGAGCCGCATCATCATTTTTTTTTTTTTTTTAATGATATAGATTATCTATTATTACAAAATCACGAATTATTGAAAAAAGTGACATTATATACGCAATATTTCATCATCATAACAAATTTAATATAAAAAAGGACAGATTGATTGTTGGTAACTAATATTTTTCATTTTTTTTTCATTAGCTTTGATAAAATGAGTACGCATGAACATCACAATTGTACAATATATACGTAAATGGGTAACTTATTATCTAAAGAAACCCCTGTAGGAGACGCTGTGGCCATGCAAAAAAAATCAAGTAATGAGTTTACTATTACTCCACAGGGTAATCAAGAAACATCACGTACTCGAAAAAAACCCTACTTTAACCTTGAAAATCAACAATTAAATGAATTACCATCATCAGTTGATGAACAAGATAAACTTGAACCAATGCAAATTGAAGAATATCATCGTAATGAATTAACCAACGAAGGTGGATCAAGTAATGATGATATTTTTGATACTAATATGCTTCAAGATGTACAAATGCGTGATAGATCTATAGAACGTGGAATAAAATTTGCTGCTAGTCAAATATCTACCGTTGAACGTGAAAGATATGTACGTGCGAAACAGAAACGAGTGAAAGGAGATTTGGAGAATGATGGTTTCAGAGTGATGTGAGACGCGTGATTATGATTAAGCAAGAGAAAACATGATTGAATGTTTAAAGTCCTTTGGTAAATTTAATATACTCTTCATTTATTCTTTTCACAATGTTTATAAATCGTCAATTTAAAAATTCACGTAATTATTTCATATCTGATATAAAATTACGTGCAATTTTTCTTTTTTTTTTAAAAAAAAAGAAATGTACAGAATTTTATGCAAACTTAAACGCTATATAGATAAATCTATAGTGTTTTGATTAATTTTCTTCGGCTTTCTATGTCAAAAAAACATGGATCGAAGCACTATTCACCCAGTGTGTTCTAAAGGAAGTTTTAATTTTTGTAAATAAACTACTCTTATGAATCATGTAATTATCTCAAGTGCTTAGATCATGGTATAGTAGTTCAAATTATTGATTCTTTGATTTTTAATTCGCCATCGTTCTCTCTATTCATTAAATTGAGATGGATAAAAAAAGATCTTAAAGAAAGAGTGTTTCTCGTTGCAAGAACATTGTTATTGACTCACCTTTCTATTTTTATTGAATACGCTAAAAAATACACATCATTCTTAATCCATGTGATGAACACAATTAATATTGAAAGAGATAATGATAAAAAAAAAAGCATCTTGTAAAACATGGCGAGAGACTTGTATAAAGTGTGTTAAAATCGCTATAGATACATCACTTGATCCCGTGATACAAGTTGCAACATAAAGACAAGAAAACCTGTTAACTTTGTTTTAGTTTGCAAAAAATCAAGGAAAAACGAGAAAACCATTATAATTGGTATGCTGATTAAATTAATTAGTTCAATGAGCGAACTTTTAAACAGTGTGTATCAAATAAATCCGATTGCTCGTTTATACTGTATGATAATTATCATGTATTTGACCTGGTTAAGAAAAGTGATCAGATGGGTTAATCAAAAAATAAAAAATCACAGACTCCACTAATTTATGATTACTGTATGTCATACAAAAATCTTTAGAACCCGGCAAGAATAAGCAGCGTGTTTTCATAATTCAAATTGACTCATCTTCAAGGATTTTTTCGTGCGTTCACAAATCTTTTCGTTTATAATATCGAGACAACGATCCCCATCCATTCCACAGGCCTCTTTTCCCGTCAGTTATTGGATACAACCTAATCTTTCGAGCTTTCATCGATTCTGCACATTTGGCCGGTCCCAAAACTTGTCATCTTCTTCATCTCTTTTTTCAAGAACTATATTAAAATTATAAATTATTATCATTACTTTCTCATCCGTGAACGTGATGCTGCAATTCCAACAAATTGATAATTAGTTTCGCGTTAAGTACGGTACGATGGTTAATTTAGTATCGTACGATTTGAAAATTATGATATGTTCTGTACGAACATATGTATGTAATAGTAGTATAAAATAAAAAGTGGACATAAAAGCATAGATTATAGGAGCTTAATTTTGACATCCTATTATGTTTGTTTCGTAATATTACTGTAATAATAATACGGTAAATTTAGTTATACAGAGTTCTCAGTTATCCAGGTTCAGTTTCGACTGTAATATATAATTGGCTTACGGAAGTTAGTAAACAAAAATTTATTCATATAGACAATATAGTAATTACTTATCTTGCTGAATATGTCAATATAGTATTGTAAATAAAAGATATATATGTTGTAGATGGATTCGGAATTCTGAATCTACTTAAGTGGATTTGGAATCTCAAAGCGGGAATAGAATATTTATGATAGATAAGCAAAGCAACCTTCAAAATGATCATATTAACCTTGCATGATATATCATAAAGATATGTACGTGTAAATTCTGACCCTTTTCATTTTTTGCAATAATTTGACTAATTCGCAAGCTGAAAAGAATTTTTGATCCAATATCAATCTTTTGGAGTTCCTAAATTTGTATTATTAGGCTCATTAAGTATCGCAATACAGTAATAAAATCATAGTCAAAATGGGTTACTCTGTCTAGCAAGAGATTTTCCTTCAAGAAATTTATTGATCATATCATTAAAAATAAAAAGATACACTTCTTGTGTTGACATTTTGGTTGAAAACACGATAATTGCTGTAATAAAATACGATTACTGTAAATATTGTTATTTTTAATTATCATATAAGTCATTCTTCAATCAACTTAAGTTTAGAAATCCGCTTAAGTGAATTCCGAATCCACAACAATAAAAAATAAATTTCTTAATTTAAGTATTTTTAACTAAATTAAATTTATTTCATAATTAATACGGTGTTCTATGTATTTTATTCAATGATAAATAGTTTAATTTATAAGTTAATATCAAGACCAAATTCTAATGTTTTATAATTATCTAAAAAATTTAATAATTGAAAAATTATTATTAGTAAAAAAATAAATAAGTTACTATTATATTGTATTAGGTATATTTACCTTGGTTAGGAGTATATTTTAATTTTTTATTTTTTTTATATGCATCTACTGTAAAATTTATATCAGATATTAGGACTATGTTAAATTTTATTTATTACCAAATTTTAAATTACATACCATCATCATCATGAACTTTATGCTTTAGTACATAATTGCTAATTGTTTGATTTTGATTATGTAAAGTTGGCCCGTTGCATAAAAAATATATATCCATTTTGGAAAGTTGTCTATTATGAATAAAAAGGTTTATTATCTAGTCTGTATTAAATCATATAAAACCATATTTAGAATTAATTTCGCTTACCTTTTTTTATCTATGAAACTAGTCAAAACTTTATGAATTTTATTAAAAAGGTTTTTTTATGGATAATTTAAAAAGTCAAAGTAATTTTAAATTCTTACAGGAAGCTGTGCTATTCATTCTTAGTGGTCTACTTCTATATATTGCTTGTGCATTTATTTTTCTAATAGGCGTCTGTGTTTTAATGTCTGGGAAATATATTTCTTTTCTATATTCTTTACCATCACAAATATCATTAATAGACTTAAGAATATTTTTAGCTAATGGTCTATTTAATGGATTAGAATCCCAACATTTTTCCATTAAATCAATATAAGTCTGCGGTAAGTTACTAATAATTTCAGGACGAAGACCATTAAGAATATCAATAAGAATTTCATCATGTTTACGATCAGAAAAAGGTTTTTGACCAGTCGCCAATTCCCACATAATCATTCCAAAGCTGTAAATATCTGAATATTGTGTATATTTTTCGCCCTTAAATATCTCAGGTGCAATATACGGAATTACTCCATATATATCTTTGACATCTGTTGAAGTATTTGCTGGTTTGCTTATTCCAAAATCTCCTATTTTTATACGTTTATGAATATCACTATATATATCATGAACAAATATATTGCCACTATGAAGATCTCCATGAATAATGTTTTTACTATGAATTTTATTGAGTCCTCGCGCAATATCTCTTAATATATTTAGTTTTCTATACCAGGATAAAGCAAAAAAGTTCTTTGAAATATGATTATGTAAGTCGCCATATTTTGCAAAATCCATTACAATCATATAATTTTTGGTTTCGGGATGCTGTGTGATGCCACGATATTTAATTATATATGTACCTGAACATTGAAAACAATATTTTAACTAAAATATCAAGTTAATTAATTAATAAAATTAATACTATCCAATTATATAAATAAAACATTACTGTCCGTAACAATGCAAACCTCATTTATAATTTCAGAATTGTTAAGACTTTTAAGAACAACTGGATGCTTTTTAAGATTCCCAAATATTTGCTTACGACCGTTCCAACATTTTATACCATTAATACAAGTCGCTTTATATATTTTACTAAATCCCCCTTCAGCAAGATAACTAATATCTCTAAACTTTTCAAATGGAATAAATTCTATAAACTTGTTTGCTTTATTAATTACGCTAGCAAGCCAATCATCTATAATTTTATTTCCGCTAAATTTTATTATTAATTGCTCACAAAAATTACATTGTTGAGCATTCTTATCTTTATGATTCCTTCTCATTTTACATTCTTTACATTTTTTCATACGTCTTAATTTCTCTAATTTTTTTTTCTCACAAATGTAACATTGTTTAGCATTCTCGCCCTTATGGTACTTATACAGTTTACAATTTTGACACGTTTTATAAACCATAATTTATCAAAATGTTACGAATAAGATAATTGCAATAATATTACATATATAAGGACTATATAATAAAATATACATAAGATTTTTAAATTCGAAGTTAACTACGTATTAACGTTAGTATATAGTTTATATATTGATCGAAATGTTTAGTGTGACAAATAATGTAAATATAAACGTATTGTGATAGGGCGGGTCTTATCTCTCAATACTCAACAACACTAATTTACTGGACCTACGGGCGGCTTAGTCGATTGAGGCGTGTTAGATTTGGCGAGTGGTTTGGATGTCCTTAGTAAGTATTGGGTTTCTTCTGTATTGGTTCTTTACTAACTCTATTCCTCAATTACCACACTACTTCGGGTAATTGGATCAACGAAACAACCACAACTATCACACTACTTCGGATAGCTGGAAAAAAATAAACCACGGCTGATCCTGGTACGTTAGGATACAACAGCCGGACAGGGTTTCAATATATCGGGGGTATTTAATATAACGGGTTCAGTGGTTAGGGGTTTTAGCGAATTTATAGTTTTAGGTATTAGGAACTTATTTAATAAAGCAAAGGAGACATTCGATATCGTCTCAAAGGGCCAACACGGCCTTTATTTATAATATAATTCTTTATTTACATTTGGTATTCTACGTTTGCTACTTCCACCACATAATCTACGTCCCCTACTTACCCTACGTAGCCTTCGTACCTATGTAGCCTACGTAGCTGAAGCAGTCTAAGTGGGTCGGGTTACTCTAATTTGGAGTAACCGTAGCACATAGCTTTATCTGTGCCCGGTTGGGTCAGGTCATGTGACGATAATAGTAAAATTGGGGTTTCTAATTGGTTGAGTTTGCAAGATTATCATGTAGAAAATCATTTGATTATAGTCACATGACCTAACTAGGCACAGATTTACCTATTGCATATCTAAGAATGGGCCACTGCGTAGCCTACGCATTATTTTATTACGCAACCTGCACATTTATAGCCTGCGCGTTACTTCACTGTGCAACCTGCGCATTATTTCACTGCGAGAGGCCACGCAGTGTGATTTTTAAAATTCAGGCAAGCTAATATAATTCTGGCCAGCTGGCATAATTCTGACCAACTGGAATAGAATTATATCTCTATGTATGCATATTTCATATGCAAACTGCATAGAAAATTTGAAAAATTCATGATTTGTCAATCTCTAATTGTATCTAAAAAACTATAATATAATTAATAATGGCTTTCAAAACTATTTTGGTGTATTAAAACTGTTTTAATAAATCTCATAGTATTAAAATATCAATATTGAAACTCAAAAGTGATAACTAAACTCAAATGTAGTAGCAAAACTTAAAAGAAGTATGATGCAAAAAGTCTATATTCAATAGTTATACAAAGTATTTCAATTTTTTAAATAACTATAACTTTTTATTTAAAAGGTTTTAAAAAAATCTAATTAGTGCTCAGCAAAATCAAACAAAAGATTTGGTTGTCAAATATGAATATCAAATAACTGACTTTATATCAACATATACTAATACATAATTTTAAAATTATATATCAGTATAATTTGATTTAAAGTTAGCTATTTGATATTCGATTAATCAAGTATTTGACAATCAAATTTTTGTTTGATTTTGCTGAGTGCTAAATCTAATTAGTAACTTTATAGTTATATTAGCTTTATAAAGTTACTAGTTAGATTTTTTAAAACTTCTTAGATAAAAAGTTATAACTATTTAAAAAATTAAACATTTTGTATAACTGTTAAATATAGATTTTCTGCACTATATCAAAACTTGAAAGTAGTATTAAAATTTGAAAGTAGTATCAAATTTTAAAAGTAGTATTAAAACTCAAATGTATATTTTTTTTTATTTTTTTTTATTTTATTTTATTTTCAATAAGCTGTTCGCAAATTTTTATTAAGTATTATTTTCAAGTTATATTTGTTAGTAAGGATACAATTGGCTATACGTATAACTTTAGTCATTATCTATTTACAGGTTCTGCCATATAGATTACCTACTAATTGCTATACCTAGTATCTGCCTGTAGATACTCTATTTAAACTCTCTGGCATCATAATAAAACTTTATTTTTAATCTAATATTTATATATCTACGCTAATCTTGTGCTGTCTCATTTAAGGACTACTCAAACCAACTTGTGCCTCAAATTGTCTTCATAGAACTGAGCTCTGTCACAAGGTACCCATCTGCGTTCTATTCTGATGAGGGCTTGCAGATAACCCTAACTATGCTGTACTATATCCAATTAAGCTAGCATATACCCTTATCAGTGTTCATACAAACCTAGTTTCTTCTGTAGCTCTCTACCAGATTAGTCTAGTTCTTCTAAATATTTTATAAGATAAATCCTTCCAAATCCAATTAGCTGCCAAGCCAGATTGGTGTTGCTATTTGTGTAATGTTACATCATGCTTAACTTTTTTGTTACATTATAGACTTATTCGTACCTACTCAGTTTGCATTCTTCATTCCTAGGCTTCCTCCAGATTAAGCGTCAAGTCAGCATGACTGTTAAAATCTGTACTATATCACCTAACTTAGAATTTCTAATATGCAGGTTCCCTGCTTGTAGATCCTATTAAGATTTATTCATGTAATATTACATCAAATCTGACTTTTCCATTACACTTCCAATACTCGATTAATATTGGTACAACATAATTTACAGAGTTACAACTCTAGAAATAAACAGGGTTTACTATAAGTTGAATACAAAGATCTGAGTAATTATTCAAATTTGTCGATAGTGGGATTTAAACCTCAGACTTCTTATATGGTAGTCCAACAACCTAACAACTACACTCAGATCACTGGACATTCAAATATATATTAAAATTTAAAAGTTTATTAAAAGTCAAATATGTTTACTAAAATCAAATATTATTGAAGAGTTGTTTTAATATTTTTGTTATTTATAAAATTATCTAATCTAAAAATTAGAACTGTTTAACTATATAAAAATTGTTTTATAATTTTAGCTAAATTATATTAATTATAAGTTAAGATTATCTTAATACTAGCTAAATTAAATAGTTAATATAATTAAATAGTTAAACAATTCTCTAATCTAATCAAATTATCAAAATTTTTAAAAGAATTTATATTTATACTCTATAAAAATTAAAGATTTTAAACTTTGAAAAAAGATATATTAACAACTCTTTGATTAATTCAAAACATCTATTAAACTAAAAGCTGTATTGATTTTTTTTTTAAAATTTTGAATAAAGATATTTTAACAAACTTCTGACTAAAATTAATAAATTTTTTTTATTTAAATTATAATATCTGTAAAGTTCAAACAAAAAAAATTTAATTAAAATTAGTCAAATAGTTGTTAAGATATTCTTACTCAAGTTAGTAAACTATTTAAAATATCTATTAAAATAATAACTATACTAAATTTTTTTAAAACTTTAAATAAAAATATCTTAATAAGAGATTAGAACTAATATTAATAATTTAGATTTATTATATGAATTTTAGAAATTTATTCAATTAAATTTTAATAAATTCTAAAATATTACAATATTCATATGATAAACTTTAATTATTAAAACCAGTTCTAATTTCTATCTTAATAGCTATCTAATAAAATTAATTAATTTTTTTTATTTTAATTCTATAGACCTATAAAATTTAAATAAAAATTTTTTATTAAAATTAGTTAGATAGTTATTAAGATATCTTTGCTTTAGAGTTCTTATATTCAGTTTGAGTTTAGTTTAGTTTAAATTAAACCTAACTCAAATAGCAAATTTTACTAATTTTAAACTCAATATAAACTCAAACTTATAATTTCTAAATCTAAACTAGACTTAAATATAGTAATAAGTTTAGTTCAAATTTAGTTTAAAGTTTATAAACATGTTTAAGTTTAATAATCTATATATATTTTTGTTTAAATAAAACAAAATTACTTAAAGCATAAAACTAGAATTAATTAATAGAATTATTATTTTTTTTTTTAGTAAGCTATATATTAATATTTATTTAATATAATTAAAAAACTATAAGAGTTTTTTAGCCTAATTTAATAACTAAAAAAACTATATATAAATATATATAAATATCTATATTAAAACTCAACTAGTTATTCAAATAGTACCTATTTATAACCTGCTATAAAATAGATTTAATTCAATCTAAAAACTAGATATTCTATTCTTTACTTATCAATATCACTATATGAATCTATTTAGTTTATCATAACTTCTTACTTATATAGTTAAATATAACTAAACTAATATTATTCTTCTATATAGTAAAAAATAAAAATACAATTTATAAGGAACTATATTATTCTATAGTATATACTATATATATAAGATAGTAAATATATAGTAAAAAAACTCAATATATAAAGCAGACTATAGTATTCTCTGCATCTATAAGAGTCAAAAATACAGTGAGTATCTTAGAAAATTCAAACTTCAATATGTATTTACTAATATCATTCAGATTATTCAATACATATAAATTATTAAATACAAATATATATAATTACTCTAATAAAACTTTAACTCATAATAAAACTAATACTTGCTATAAGCTCTTTTTTCTACAATACAACTTACCATTACCCAAAGAAAATAAAACATTAGACTTTTTTCTTATTTACTTATCTAACTACTTCTTTTCATAATTAATTCTCATTTCTATAAATCAAATACTTATTAAAACTTATATTTACCTCAATTTAAATGAACTAATACTTAAAAACTACTAAATTCTTGAACTAATCTAATTCTTTAAAAATTAT